CAGGGAAGACCCAGAACACACCGGARAGACTGTCTTTCAGCTGGCCTGGTAACGCTTTGGAATCCTCCTGTAGGAGCAGGATGTCAGATGTCTGGGTCTCCCTGCTTAAGCTTATTGAACTCATGACTTGACTCTGGAACCAACAAATGGATGGACAAATGGATGGGAACCCCTGGTCTACAATTTGTGAATTAGCATTATCTAGGAATATAATGAGAACTGCACATCTACACAGATATTTCCTTCACTTTTGCCCACTCTTTCRAGCAAAGTCCAGACCTCACAAAACTCTCGGTTTTCGCCTCTCTTGAGAGGGGGCACCCGTGTTTTATCACAGAGACTATGTTCCACTCCTATACTTGCACAAGGATTTATGATGACAACCGTTGCTATTTGGAGCATTCCTCAACTTTCCTGAAAAATGAAAGTATAACAAACCACATTTTTGCGTTATTCAAAGCAAATATATTTTCCTATTTCCTCCGACCACTGAATAATGTGGCAAAATATTGGGAAACRTTTAAAGAGGTTTCAGAAAAATGATATGAATGACAGCATAGCAACACTGCCTGGAGAACACGGGGGTTCTTTTCTGCCGGCAGTCCGTCTGAAAAACTGTGTCATTAAAAGGACTTTCTGTATTTGAAGTTTCCAGAGTACATCGCAAAACCAAGGCTTTTCACACTGACATGAACATACAAAAAAACACTTATTGGTTTAAATAAACCTCTGAGTCTAACAATGYACCTATTTGAAGAAAAAGTTAATATATCACAAACACATACTAAGAAATATGGCAATGAACTACAGTATATGTTTCCAGAACTAATATGGGATTGAAATACAGTAATGTTCCCACACCGCACTGTCTGTATGGTTACAGTGTGTTTGCAGCAGCTTATCAGCACAATCAAATGGGAAAAAAATAAAGTTGTGGGCTCTGATCTGAGTGCGGGTTTGACAAATGGATATTAGTTTGCCGCAAAGAATGGAACACACCAGTTCCACATAAACCTATTTCTTATAACTGCTTTTATCCCACACCGAAGTTTGAAACCAGTTCAGACTTCACATTAATCCAAACCAGATTATGAGCCGCCTAAAACTTATGTAGTGAAGCACTTTCTAGTAATTTTTTTTGCTCAGCCTTTCTTTTGTTTCATGTGTTGATCAAGTTATATGAAGTTAGGCTACCGTTTAATTTTTTTTCCTGTAAAATTATGTAATAGCCATGTTAAAGTAAGGTTATGTAAAAAGGTTTTAAAAAATGAACAGGTCTTTTGTAGATGAACAGCCTTATTGCAGAATGAAGGAGCTTTTATATGTGATGGCAGTCCGTTTCACAATACATGATTAGTTTTGTAAAATTCAAGCGCAAATAGTGGTTTCCACAGCGAGGTGAAGCATTTCTTACGCAGGTTAGGTTAAGTTGGAAGCAATTTAAAAAGTAAAAAAAATGGCAGAAAAAAACATATAAATAAATAAATAAATAAATAAATAAATAAATAAATAAATAAATAAATAAATAAATAAATAAATAAATAAATCCACCTGGAGTATTCTGGAGCTGAAAACATATCACTTCCTATCCAGGATTCTTTCTCAGTTAAAAAATGTCTGGAGTTCCAAGCTTTATAGACCTTCATAAGAGGCCTCATAATTAGATTTACATGTAGATGAACCCACTTGCCCTACACAATGGTGGGTCATTACAAGTATGGCTCAACCCAGGATTTCCAGCTCTTCAGAACAGCACTCAGCAGCCCACCAGAACACACTGGAGAGACTGTCTTTCAGCTCAAGGGTCAAGGATAAAAGCCTCCACATACTCCCTCCAAACTGCCAAAAATCACTCTCATTGCTGTTGTTGCATGATGAAATTTGTAGTAGTAGTTTATTTTTTGTGTGTGTGTTGCGCCCCTTTTTGTCACAACCTACCAGGAGAACTTCTCATCCTGCTCAACATACGAAATTACTGTGTGATTGGTCAGAAGTTCCTGAGTATGTTTTTTTTTATGCTAAAGTTGCTCGGATGCTGCTTTTTGCTTCAACTACTTCCTACTACTTTTTATCCCTTTTTTGGATTGATAATGACCTGAGTGACTGAGAATCCTCTCCAACTTCTGTAATTTGATCTAAAATTTATGGTAATGAAAGTGGGTCCGCTCAGACTATAAGCCCTTGCAAGTGCACATTTCTCTTTGGTACTGGCACATAACCACAGAACTCATGGTAAAAGAAGTAATGAAAACTGATAGAAGTGTTACCCCCAATTTACACTGCATGCAGTTCTGCTTAGCTGCGAAGTTGGCTGACATTTTTTTCTACCCCTATACACATGATCAACTCTGAAGTAACCTGGTTAAAACCAGACCCTGTTCTTCACTTTGCTTCGTACAAGGGTCTGGACTTGCTGCATAGAGAAGCGTTTCTTGCAGGAGGCATGGCCTCTGCTGAAGCATGTGTGTGTTGTCGGTGTGAAGGAGGCTAAGCTAAGAAGCTAACTGGAAATCGCATGTGCTGTAAACAACCCTACGGAGAGGAGAAATATACCGAGACGACTGTAAATGAGAGCTGCTGCTTTGTCAGACCGATTTATTTTAATGTGGAAGCCTTATCAACACGGACTGGCTCCATTCCTCCACTGCCGTATGCTAAAATAACAAGCAGACACTGCGCAGAACATCGACGTCATTCAAAACTCCGCCTTCTGTTTGCTGATTGGCCCAGGTAAAATAAACTACAAGCAGACACCGCGCAGAAAATTGACGTTCTTTTCTCTGATTGGCCCGGCAAAAAATCTGCCAGCGAAATCCCTGTCAATGGGAGAAGTCCCAGACGGAGCAGTGAAGGGAACTAGAATTGAGCGGAGCTGCGTAGGAAGGCAAGGGCCAGGCTCTGAAGCAGAGATGCTTTGAGAAGCATGCGCAGGAAATACGTGATCATGCAATAAATCCAGTGATAAGTGTAGAAGTCAGACCAAATTACTTAGTTTTGTGGAAAACGGGCTCGAAACAAGAGCTGAAACTGCATCTCTATTGTCTTTTTTAATCCTAAAAACGTGTACAATAGGTTGCTTTCAGGCCCAGACCTCCCTTGAAAAAGATATCTGAGATCTCAACGAGAATTGCCTGGTTAAATAACGGTAAATAAAATAAAATAAATAACAAATAAATTAATCCATATTTCAAAATAAAATCCATACATTTTGCACACTGCATGCTGCTATCCACTTACCAGACAGAATGATATATTTTGACAGCATGTATGTATAAATGTACCCATATATTTATTAGGGATTTTAACTAAATGTAGTCTGCCTTTGATAAATTATTTTGAAAATGTGGATTTCTTGCAAATTCCTTTTCCAGTTAGTGCAGTGTGGTTTTTGTAGCTTGATTTCACACTTGCTTTGACCATCCAACAAAATTAGGATTATTTCTAATTTTGGCAGATGGCCGTGCCAATGCAGTGTAAATGCTGTGTAAATGTTGTCATTGATTATAATGGTTGTGTTTTTTACTGTGGAGTTGGGAGCGGGGTGCGCAGGAGAGAAGTGTGGCTTAGCGGAAGCAGTGTCAATTGGGGATTAAGGCTTGTGACATTACATTTGCTACTAACAATAGGTAAGATATTACTTGTTTGTTTTCCACAGAAACTCACTTAAAAAGCAGCTGAAATAGTCCTTCAGGGCAAACTGATAGGAAATATCTGGACTTTGTCAAATCTACGTACTTTTTCATGGTTTCCTGTTTATCTTTGGAGTCATAGTCTAATTTTTTCATCATGGTTTCCTCAATCCTCATCCTTTCATCAGCTGTTTATTTTAGTTTTAAACAAAAGTGATTTGTGGTACATTTTACTGTGTTTTACTTGGATCATACTCATATACATATCTACACGTGACAAATAAAGAATCTTGAATTTTAAATCTTCATAAAAATTATAAGATTGCCCAAGATAAGAGCAAATATACTAATTTTACTTTGACCTACACATAAATTATAATATTAAGGGATTTTTCTTTAGCTGTTGTACACTGACATTGGTTTTGTTGTGAATCAGCTCATTCGTTTAGTGTTCCTCACCTCCGGTGACCGGTACGTCCAGCAGATCTGTGGCTAGACAGAGTGGAAATACTGGGCTACAGAGCTACTGAACTGGCCAAACAATGAGAGGAAACTGTGAGTGGAATGAATGAAATCTCCCCCCGCTGCCATTTTCTGACTTTAGGCAAATACTTGACAAAGTTTCTATACTACAGCCAAGCAGACTGCATCGGCTTTAATAATTATTTATTGCCGTCCGAGTCCCTGTGAGATGTCTTTATGTGGGCTCCGTGCATCATGTTACCAGTGGAGATGATTTTTCAGCTGGCCTGGTTTGGCCAATGAACAAGTTCAAGTATTTCATGGTTTCTCTGCGGTATTAGGGCTGTTTTCTTTTACAGGACCAGCTCCGTGCTTGCCATCACCGTTCAGTTCCTCGTTCATTCATTTTCCACTGTTTATCTGTCAGCATGCCTAGCTCAGACCTTTCGTAGTCGCTTAGATCGTCAGGTCAATGTTGGAATGTGTGAGTAACGGTGCATCTCACTCTGTGAACTGAAGGCAGCAGTGGATGAGTTGGTTTCAGGTTCCACTGTATGGTGATGTCAGTGTAAACAAAAGCAGAGCCTCAGTGTGACTGATAAACTGCAGACAGTCGGTGTGTCATGTACCATCAAAAGTTTCAGTCTTCAGTCTTTGGCTACGACAGCGAACAAATCCCACAGTTATCTGCATTTCCTGTGTGCTGACTGGTAACTTCATTTTAAAAATGTTCTGAAAGAACCTGGATTGATTGAGTATGAATTTGATCTCAGTTCAGCTTTAACTCTTCATAAGATGAAATTTACCAATGCATGTGTTGAGATATCAAATATTATTTTTATGTTCTGATTTATTTATTTATTTATTTATTTTCATAAATTCAACCTTTTGTCTTCCTTGTTCCATCAGGAAAGCCGGCCTGATCCTCTCCCAACTAGACGAACTCTCCCTGTGGTGTAAAGGTCTCCTTCAGGAGCCGAAGATCGGCCTTCGCAGAATGTCCCTCAAGTTCCTGTCCTGCCGTTACACCGACACCAAAGTGTTTGGGCTCAACTGGTCCGAGATGGGCCAGGACGTCCACAAAGCCTGTGACGAACAGACACTCACTGTCATGTATAATGACTACGGTGAGCCCAAGGAGCTCTAAAGGTTTGGTTTTAAGTTTGGATCCGGACAAAACCACACGCACTTGAAAAACATAATCCAAGTTTTATGTACCTCGGCCATGATTTTTACATTAAATTATAGTCCTAATACTAAATGCGAAATATTATTTGAAATGCCATGTAATGTTTTTGATACACACCAATATCAAAAGCTAAACGAGTCATCTTTTATAAACTAACTGCAAATAAAAAAAAATCATAAAAACCATTACTGCTGAACGACTAAGATTTTCGGAAGGCTGTCCATGCTGGAACAGTTTTTGTGAATACACAAACGTTTTTATCGTTACAACCTTGCGTCCACATAGGAACAAGCTTCAAGAAGCTCAAAAGTAATATTCTTTGAAAATGGGTTTTTGAGTGAAAAAAATCTTGAAGTCCTTTGGACAACTAACAAAAACAATGGTGTCATAGTCCCAACTTTAATCTAACTTCTGACACAAGGGTGTCCCCTTCTTGTTGAGTTTTTTTTTAAGTTTTTATCCAGTGTGGAAGCTTTATGTGCATGCTTCACACGTTGTTTGTGTAATTTCACTGTACCGTTACAGCGACACATACAGGCCTGAGATCGTTACTACAGCTTTTGAAGTCATTTTGAGAAGGGGTCTCTGCATTCATTAAAGCCCTGTCTCCATTGTCAAGTCTCACTCTATTCAGTTCATGTCTGTTCAGTTCTGCTCAGGTGTGTGTGTGTGTGTGTGTGTGTGTGTGTGTGT